TTTTGGTTTAATATTATAAATTTTATAAAGATAATAATTAAGTATTCTGTTAGAATTTATTTTTGGTTTAATATTATAAATTTTATAAAGATAATGATTAAGTATTCTGTTAGAATTTAATGATTATACTAATTATATTTTAGATTTTTTATATTTAAAATGAGATGTTTATCATGTATTTGATTGTGTTTATCTGCAGTTAGTTTCACGAATTTATATATGAGATGAAATCGGATAGAGATGAAATCGTTTAGGAATGAAAGGATTTAAGAGTTTTTAAAAGTTTTTAAGAGTTTTAAGAGTTTTTAAGAGTTTTAGCCAAATGCTTTATAATATAGTATAGATATAGAAGTATAGATATAATTTTTTAAAAATCGTAATATAATTAGATGGATATACATTTAATAATAATGGATATACATTTAATAATAATAATTAATATGAATTATATATTGATCTAGTAACACAAATAAGAATAATATATAATATGTGTATATACACACAGATGTGTTCACAGACAATATATATGAATATATAATATGACTAAACAATAATAACAAATATACAAGGGATAAAATAATAATAAAATATAATATATCATTTGATTGAGTTAATATTTGATGGTTTTTAAAAAAAATCAATTCTTTTATTTTTGAAGTATAGGGAAATGCGTTTTGGTTAAATATGAAAGAAAATTGTATTCTAGCTGGCCAGTTAGGTACGTATTTAGATTGTTTGTTTTTTTCAAAATTTCAGAGGTACTTATGTCTTATTGTCCTCTTATCTGGTAAGAGGTAAATCAACCTCATATTTGTCTTTTGTTGTTCTTCAAACCCTTAACAACGACATTTTTTAATCGATTAACCTTAATCGATCATTTATTTTCAATCAATCCTTACCAAATCAATCCTCACGTCTCTCAATTGATGTATTTGAATAGAATTTAAATGTGTTAAATGCGTTAATGACATATTTTCATTTAAATGAATGCTAATTACATGTAAATTTCGTAATGATGAAGAATAAATATGTGAAATTGTATAAATTTTATTTATAGATTCAACAATATAATTTGTAATAGGTAAATTAGACGATTTAAACAAATTTAGACATTCATCAGTTTAGAAAAACAAACAGTCTTATTGATTCAGATTTCAGACATCAACACCACCTCTTATAAACCAAAAGTGAAATGAAACTTTAAACTTCAGCACCTCTTAAAAAACAAACATCACTCTAGTTATGGTTAGATAGGCAAGTAGAGGATGTAGAAATTGCATAGGACATTTGATAAATCAAAGACAGCAATCATTATAAAACCAATTTCGAAGAGACAAATAACTATTTACCCAATTTCCCTACCTTTTTATCTATATATTTTTTTAATATTAATAATTATACATAGATACAAACACATATATGTGTGTGTGTGAAAATTAATTAAAACATAAAGATACTCTTAAATTGAAATATATGCGTGCATCTTATAATATGTGGTGTGTTACAATAATTATATATATAATAATATATACTTATTTATAATATGTTACACGTAAATAAATTAAATAAATAATTATATAAGTTAATATAAAGTCAAAAAAAATATAATAAAAAATAAGTAAAATATCTTTTTTCATAAAAATTTTAATAAAAATCAATAGTTTTTTTTAAAAAAGTTATGACATGTTAGGACGTGTTTGAGATTGCTTATAAAAACAACTTATTGACTTATTCCGGTGTGACATCAGTAATAAGCATTTTTGAGTGTTTAAATAAACGCCTTATACCGATGCTAAACCTATAATAAGAAGTTTTTGAAGAAATTAAATCATTCTAACTTATAATAAATTGACTAGTTGTGTACCCGCGCAATGCGGCGGGAGCCGTGAATTTTAACGATTTTGAAGTTTCACTGACTTTATTAGAGAAGATTCAACGATGATATAAGTTACACTTGGTTTTTACATACTAATACAATTTGAATAAATAAGAGTTATGGTTCCAATTACAGTCTATCGATGAAAAAAATTGTATGACGGTTTAAAATCCAATATATTTAAAATCTAACATATTTAAACGACTTCATAAATGTGTTCGATTTACAGCAAGAGCAAAGAATCAAGAGAGCGAGACCGAGAGTTCTAGAGTAATTGAATGAAAGATGAATGAGATAACTTTTAATAACTTATGGTGAATATTAGTTTGAATCTCACCTTGGGAGATGGGAAGAAGACATAGAGGGATGAGAGGATGAATGCATGAGTGAAATGTGTGAAAAGTATCTTGAGAACATGAAATGAAAAGGTAATAATGTGCATTAATAACTTGTACTATATGTTAATTTAATTGTAGATTAAAAGATTTTAAAATTGAATGCATAAAATAATAGTATTTAATGCATTTTAAGTTATTTTTAAGACTTTATATATAAATATATAATATTTTATATATTAAAAATTACTTTTAAGATTTTTAATAAATCTAATTTATAAGGTGGTAGGTAAATGAGTTTTGTAAACATGGCTTGTTTCAAGTAAAGAATCCCGGACACGCCTTGATTCTTATACAATAATAGTTCTTATAAAATAAATAGCTTAGAAGATACCTGTGGTTGATAATGCTCTAACTGAGCTTTGTTAAAAAGTAAGGTCGTATATTGATTTGTCCTTGAAGGGAGAGAGTTTGTCGAGCTGGTGACAATGGTTGGGCCAAGAAGGCCACACTTCGTTTTGTTCGGTTCCTCAATCGTTGAGTTTAGCTATGGTAATGAAGGTTGGGGTGCGACTCTTGCCCACATTTACGCTCGTAAGGTTGGTTTTTCCATCTGCTTTTGCTTCTTGTTCGGATTCATTCGATTGTGATTTCAAGTTTCCATATAATTGCGATGCATTTGATTTCAATAGACTTGTAGATTTCTCAATTATCACTACTTGAGAAGTGTATTAATGGCTGGTAGGCGGAGAAAGGGATCAGTCTACTTATACATGTGGGTACCAATGTAGAACCGTGCACATGTTGAGTTAGGGTTTGGGGAATGTAACAATTCTAATTTGCATACTAATGCTTCCATATAATTAGTGAATTTGCATACTAATGCTTCCAGATCGGGTCATTACACTCAAATTTTCATATGCTCTAAAGGGGTTTCTCTTATTGCTAATTGTTACAAGATGAAACTAAATAACATTTTAATTGTAAGAGCACCTAGGATGCATGTCAGCGTTGCGATAATCCATATATGCCTCGATGCATGTCTACATTATTGTGTTTGAGGGATTTAGATATCTCTATAGCAAGAAGCTTTACTTAATTTGATCTCTGACATAAATTTAACATGTATCTATGTTGAGACCAAAGTAATGCACCACCAAGTTATTAGTGCCTCAATGAAGATCTTTAAACATTGGAAGGCAGAAATAAACCTTGACTTTCATGACATTGATGAAATTTGGATTGCATGGATGCCAATACTCGAAAACCACAAGGGTTGTGGCGTAGTGGTCGAGGCCCTAGTGGATGTGGTGGAATATCCCATTCGCTCAGGGTTCGATTGCAGGCATACACAACAATTGTGGCTACTGAGTTTATCAGGGCTAATTTCTTGTAGTGTCAATTTGCCGGGATTAGTCTAGGCATAGCTTGGGACACACTTCAATTAAAGAAACACTCGAAAGTGTCAAAATAATTCTGAAAATTGATCAATTTATTCACTGTCATATGTTATTATAAGTTAATTCTCATTGATTCCATGTTCCATTCGCATATGCTCGGTGTTGAGGCATTTTGGTCTTGTTTTCCATCAAACTAAACACAAAGTTGTTCAAGCACTTTAAAAGGTGTCAAGCCAATGTCCATGTTATTGTAAGTTGGTGGAAAACTTTCTAATGGAAGGACACATGTATGAAAAGGTGACACATGAATGCCTAATAGACCACCTTCTTCTAGTTAAAGCGTATCATGTGTGTATCCTAGCTCATGAAATCATTTAACATACCACATGACAAAATAGTGTATCAAATGGGACTACCTCCCCTGCCCTCTACAAAACATACCACCAATAACTATATCTTTCTCTCATCCATACTTGTATCAGAAACCGATGTATACCATGTCTTAGGTACCACAACATATGCATATCGGCCTCTTTTTGTTGGGATACTGCTATAGATACCTCTTATGCTCTATCCTTGTTCCTTTGGTCAAGAATATCTCTGGAGTTGGACCAACTTGCAGCTCTCCCTCTCATATTCGAAGCTATTGAGCAGAAAATCTGAAAACTTTCTCCCTAAAGGTTTTATGTTCTTTACAGATAGAACAAATTTTGGGATTCAATTTGGATGAGCAGATGGCATTTGGGGTTTGGTTAAAAACATATTAATTTTATTAAGAGCAGATTACAATTTTTTTACAAGTCCCAATAGCAGAGTCTAATGAAATTTTTACAAGGCGCCGGATGTAATTGAATATTGTTCTTGTATCATGATTCATGTATATGCTGAAAATTTTGGTCTCTTCTTTGTTGGAGTTTTTGTATACAGGACCTTCCCAACTTCTTTGTTTGATCTTGTTGTATAGCATATGGGGGTATGACCCCAGGTTATGTATATCCATTTCTTATTTATGCAATTACTGGATTTATTCAGAAAACAGTAACACAGAGATTGTGGAAGAGGAGTACTGTCGTGGAATAGGCTTAGTAATGTCTTGCAAACTGTGTTGGGTGGAAAGTGAATGTATTTGTTATTTCTGTAATATAAATCTCTCCACTTGCAAATGATATAGGCAGACATATTTTTGCGAGGATATCGTAGTTGGAATTCCAGGCAAGCGGTACAAGTTCTGGATCAAGTTTTTCCAAAGGTAAATTCTTCAGTGTACGTAGTTGCCGACTGTAGTTTTCCAACTCTTATTTGAATATAGAAGTTCTTCTCAGTACCACTATGAGATATATATATATGATTATCCTCTCTTAGTTCTTATGTTTATATTACTTAACCTTCAGCAAGACAGGTATTCTGGCTAACTTGTTTTTTCTCTTCCCGCTTTTTGGTCTTTAGGATGAAGCAGTACAACCATCTCTGGTGATTGTTTATTTTGGAGGTAATGATTCAGTTCGTCCTCAACCAGGTGGCCTAAGTAGTCATGTACCTCTTTTTGAGTATGTTGAAAACATGAGGAAGATAGCTATCCATTTGAAGGTAAATTTTAGCTATTGTTAGGTTTCTTATTTTAACCTAAACAGATATAACTATTGGCTTCAATCAAACAATATATTAATCACAATTCCCTAATGAGGCCAAGTAAACTTTCTCAATTGTTCTCAACTCCGATTGTCCTTCTCATTCAATTTAGATCCACATTACATATTATGGAATCACATGTGATATCATGCCAACCTAAATTGACTAGACAACTTGAGCTAGATCCCTTGCGGACTGTCTTAGGGGACGTTTACCAAACATTTTCCTGGTAAGCGCTTACCGGGTTGATTACCACACCAGGTGAGCATAGGAAGGACCAAGAATCTTAGAGGGAAAGCAAACATTGAGTCTTACCCGGTAAGAGAGGGTGGTGTGTGTGTGTATATATATATACATATATATATATATATATATATTTTCACATTAGCATCCTAAATGACACTAGATAGTTTTACATGTTTATACTGAACCCTTGTGGTATTAATAAATGCATTGCTCATGTTATAGATTCTCAAAGTAATGCGTACTAAAACAACCCACCTGTTGTTACCAGAGCCTTTCAGAGAAGACGCGCATAATATTTCTTACTAGTCCTCCGGTGAATGAGGCTCAAATTCTAACAATGCTGGGGTGATTACTGCTGAGCTAAATTTATTTTCGTATTTTCCTCTTAATTATCAATCCTCATTAACATTTAAAAATGTTCTTGTTATGAAACCAGTACTAAGGGTCGCACAAATGAATGGTGCCAAAAATATGCAGATGCTTGTGTAAATTTATGCCGAGAGATGGGGATTAAGGCTATTGATCTTTGTGCCGCATTTAAGCAGCAACATGAGTGGGCAACAACCTGCTTTACGTAAGTATGCTTCCATATACTCAGACATTCCTAGCTTCTAATTCTTTTTCCATCCATTAATCTTCATTTAGACAAATTATTAACTTAGTTGCCTGAACAAGGAGATTTGATTACTATCAGTTGAAGTTGGAATTATTTGATAAGAAAAATACATATACCTTGAAAATTCCAGTACATACTTTATTTTTCTTTATTTTGCGAGAGGCGCATTGGCTTTTGATCATATTCCAGTATATAAGTAGAAACTTTAAATGAGTAGGGAATCATACAATTGAAACTGGGATTTGATAGGTTTGTCTCCCTCTCCTACCTGTCAAGAATTATGAATCTGTATAATCTTTAAGTACTTTTATGTCCACACTTGAGTTGGTAATGAAATCAGAAAGTTCTTGTTAGTACTTCACAAGAGTTTTTGTAGTCTTTTGATAGAGTAAGCGCTATTAGAACTCTTGGTATGTTATTGATATAGTTTCCATTTACAGATTAGAAAGTTTCCAAACATCTGTTTCTTTTTCCCATATTGACCAATATCCTATTCGTTCACAAACGTCAAACAAATATGCAATTTTGTTGCTCTACTATGTTGATTTACTCGGTTTTAGTTTCCTCGGCAAGCAAGCTTCAGACTTTTTGTCTTTGATTCAGGTATTAATCATCAAGTAAACAATCGGCATTAATAATTTGAGTTCGTCGTAAACTAATGTTGTTCACTGGTAACATGCAGATCAGTAGGCATCCATTATGGAAGTCTTTGTGTTTGACTAAATGTTGTTTCTAATGGCAGAGATGGGATACATTTAACACCTGTTGGAAGCAAGATTGTGGCTAAAGAGATACTGAAAGCGGTTAAGGAAGCCGACTGGAAACCAAGTTTGCATTGGGAGTCTTTGCCTACGGAGTTTATAAGAAACAAGCTTTAAAAACTTGCACTTTAGCTTACATGAGTTGTACCGTACTTGGATGGAATGTCAATGCCAAATGAACAAAACTTCTTTAGGAATTAATAATGTAAAATAAAATATCAAAATATTATGGAGTAAATTTTCCATCGTTTCTTCCGGACATGTTCGTCGCCATCACTCTGTATCTCCATCTCTACAGTCTTTCGTCTTCGATCTAAATTTATTCTCAAATTATTGAAGGAACCAAATAAGCAACTATAGATTTGGAATCTACTCTCCAAATCTTTCCTAAAGGTATAAATTTCTTCCATTTTTATGTTAGAGTTCTTGAGATCGATTTTTATTTGGGTTTATGTTTAGGCCATGAATTGGTGTTGCAAGTTTGCGTTAACATATATGCTTAGAACACTTAGGTTTAGCCAAATTTGAACTAGGAATTAAAATGGTAACATATGGAAGCAATATGGTGAAATTATGCCTTTATATTAAACTGTACACCAAGTGTTCGATTAAATACCTAAGAAAGCAAAAACATGATTAAGTTTAGGATAATGACCATTGAACTTCATTTTAATGTTTAGTATGTTAAAATATATTTAGAACATATAAATTGAGTAAAACGTAGATATGGATCACAAAAATGAGTTGGAAACACATGGAATTCAGACCTAAAAACAAGTGCAGGTCTAGTGTGTTCAAAAGCACAAAGAGGATAAATCGTAAGTCAGAATAAGTTCAAATTTTACAGGCAAAAATCTCCCAAGTGTCTACTACAACTGTTATTAACTATAAGGGGCTCATAACATCAACTTTCCAAAACAGGTCTTTGTTTACTTGGGAATTACGCGTTGTTAGTATAAAATTCGTATAAAATTGATCGTAGCTCCAAACAACCGAAGTCAAGTGCCACTGGAACCCTAAGAGATATATCTACAACTTTATTGTAATTAGGAACTTTGATTCAGCCTTTAAGTAAGAGAAAGATGCTCAAAAACAAGAAGAACAGAAGTTGTTAAGTGTCGGGGAACAAACTGCACTTGAATAAGTGTCGAGTTTGATTCCTCAATTCGTACCTGGCTGTCCCTCTTGAAGGCTAAGTTGTTTAAACACATTGAGGACCTAAATACCTTAATAGAAAATTAGAGTGTGGGTTTTATGTCTTGCAAGTAATGACAAATGTATGTTTCGTTAGGCACACGAGCAAGTCAGACTAAATGTTGAGTCTCGTTTGATCATTTGGTATTCTCAAATTCGATTAAGATATGAATTTCACTTCCTTGACTCTTAGGCAATTACTTGTAGTTGACCCTTCCTAAAGGTGGTTCACTGCCTTGTGATTGATCATTTGATATAAACTTTTGAATCTTTATTGTAAACATTTGAGTGTATTTTATTGAATCCTATGCTTGAATCCATTCAAGTTTTGTTAAATTGGTTCTCATATTTTGAATTGTTTTTTAGTTTTGTGAAGTATATTGAAACTTGACTCTTTATGAATGTCATTCGGTTAGTGACATATGTTTAGTTTTCTTTGTTTTCGTAATTATCTAATTAATGGACATATTAGTTGGGATGTCTTCCATGATAGCTTTGTAGGCATGGCGTCCTCCAAGTGAACTTGGTCCACCAGGGTTAGGTCTAGGCCCAATAATGGCTTCCTTGAACCCAACCCTATGGACTAGGCCGACTCTATTGGCTCGAGAGCGGATGAATCAATCTTAGAATATTTATCCCCAGAACATGTCATTGTGGTTAAATACACGGGGGACTCGGGAGTGTGCCCGCATGCCGGTCCAATAGTTTGTGTGGTTTGGCCACCCCACGAACACTCAAACAGGAATTGACGGACTTTGTTGTTTATATTTATCTTTGCAGAGAAATTGTGAACCGTCTTGGGACTTCTGTATTTGAATGTTATTGTACATCTCTTCTGAGTTAAATGAGTTCCCAACTTGAGTTTCCTAAATTTTAATTAATTGAATTATAAGTCTTCCGCTTTGTTATCGATGTTATCTATTGTTATTTTCGAACTCGTATGTGCTCAGCCATGTTTCTTGTTTTTTGACACGGCATGTTCTAAGTGACATTGATAAGGGCAGAACTTGAGATCGAGCATGCAACCTTTGGAGTTTTCAAACTCACTTTAAGATGTTAATTGTGTATTTAAGTTAAGTTCCATTAGTGATATCGCTCGTTCCAGACCACGTGGATGGGGATGTTTTTGCTTAGCAATCTTTGATGGCAGTTCACAACCACTATTTGAATAGGTTTAATGAAGTATGAAGTTGGTTGACAATAAGGTATCTTGTTGTTCTGTTGATCTAGAATAATATCTGGTGTTGCTATTCAACTATTTTAGTGTGAAATTATTGTGGAGTTTCATGATTGAGGAAAAGAAGTCAACATGGAAATATGTCATGAACAAATGTGTCAATCATAAACCAACTCCAAAACCAAATTTAACAAAGTGGAGGATTAGTAAATAAAAATTGTTTGTTTGAGTCTCAAGGCCACCAGATATTTTCAAGGTCAAACGGTACTAATCGATGTATGCACAACCTGATAGGATCCACACAAAATTTACGTCGAGAAAAAAAATATACCTTCATTAATGGATAGATATGTTCTTATTTTGGATTTTTTAGTATCGTTACTTTCTAATTCTTAAGAAAGTAATAGATAACATCGTTTAAAAAATAGTTTTTAAATTTATTTCAACTAATATGTTACTAATTAAAGATAATAATTAACCTTGTATTTTTTGATTTATTATTAAAAATATATAAAGAATTTCAAAAATATAACAAAATCTATAAATGGTTCAGGGCTAAGTCCTAATTAGACTCGATTTTCTTTCTAACCGGCATGGAACTCGAGCTTGACAACTCAGTTGTAACACAATCTTATTTGTAAATTCTATGACAGATATGTAACCAACATACATAACATAACATGGAACAATGTCCTATAAGACCAATTTTTTAGGATTGGATTCTAATCTCAATTGGTAATGCATTTGTTTTGCTTCCATCAGTGACCAGTTTAAGTCCCTCAGACGAGTGGAAGTTTTCCCGATTGTTTGTCAAGTCCAGGATCACATAGGATGAGTCATGATGTTGCAGACAAGTTGGTCCAAATACAAACAGTCATGTCTATAAAAAAAACTCCTTAGATAATAAAATACATTTAAAAAAAGAAAATATATACTCTCATTCTTCATATATTATATCAAATTAGATATAACATGATAAAATTGCATCCAATATTACACCAACTAACACATATATGATAATACATATTAAAAATAATGTAATATAATATATTTTTAAGGGGGAAAAAAATAAAAATAAACCTCACTTAACTGCATTTGGATAACGAAGTTAAAACAAGAGCGAGCAAAATTCAAACTGTAGTGACCATTTTTGTATTTATTAAAATTTAGGGGTGACGTTTATAGTATTATATAACGTACAAGGACCAAAATTGTAGTTTACTTTAAAAAAAATTTGTTCCAACAACCCTTGCATACAATACTTGCTTGGAGAAGTGATCCTTTTCACTAACGAAAGAGCGAACCAGTTGACCTTAGACGATCGGTAGAGCTCGAGACAATGGTTGGGCCAAGAAGGCCACACTTCGTTTTGTTCGGTTCCTCAATCGTGGAATACAGCTTTAATCAGGAAGGTTGGGGTGCGATTCTTGCCGACATTTACGCTCGTAAGGTTGCTTTTTTCATCTGCTTTTGCTTCTTGTTGAGTTTCATTCGATTGTGATTTCAAGTTTTTATATACTACTAATTTTATTGCGATAAGTATCAATACACTTGTAAATTTCTAAATTCATGTAAGATCACTACCTCAGAAGTTGGTATTTATGAGGAATCCGTGGAGAAAGGGATCACGTGTGTTGTACTTGCAGACATATGCTCCAATCTAGTACTATGCACATGTCGAGTTATAGGGCTTACTAGTGTATTTGCATACAATGTCTCCATATAATTAGTGAAATTCTGTTTCTTGTTAAGGATTGTTATTTGTTACTTCATGCTAAGCACTTAGGTAACTAGAAAATCTTAATCCGAGGAAACTGCTAGTCTCATATCGGGTCATCATACTCAAATTTTCATGTGGTCCAAGGGGATTTCTCTTATTGCTACTTGTTATAAGATGGAAACCAAATAATTGTTTACATGAGCCTAGGATTCATGTTATCATTGCCATAATCAATATATGCATCGATGACTTGGAGTTGGTCTATTTACACCTCAGAGATTCAAGCATTGATGTATTAACACAAGTTGTCATCCAGTGAATAACACTCAGCTACTCCTCTATCAATAATTTGTTGGGAATGGAAGCTTAAACAGTTCCTTACATACACGATTCACCATGGATTTAATATTTTGCTTATGGTTTAGAAATCATTAACATCAAGTTGAGTTAAATCCTCTGAGGAAGCAATGCCTAATTATTCCATGTTTACAACTCGTCTTATAGAGTTCCATTGTAGTTGTGGACTGTCATAATCTCATCATGACTCACCGTACAGTTCCTTCGTAATAGACCAAAATGTAATTAGTATTTGATATCTTGAATAATATGGAATACATAAGGGCTAAGGCCTATATAAAGAATAGGTATTTACATTTAGCTACCCTCTATTATTATGCTAATAATCCCCACAAGCTAAGGATGTGGAACAATTTGTAATATGGATTGTATATAGAGGAACTGTGTAGTTGGTAACGGCTGTAAGAAGATATCTTCAATTTGGTCATTTGTGGATGTGAATTGTACCTGAAGATCTCCTTGAGCCACCTTTTCTTGAACAAAGTGAAAGTCAACCTCTACATACTCTATACGAGCATGGAAGATAAATTAGCTGAGAGGTCGGTTGCTCCTAGATTGTCACACCATATGATGGGAGCTAATGAAATGAGAGCGAGCTCTTGATTTATCCCAATACTGATTTCGTGAAACCTAAGCTTAAGGGTCGAAATATTGTATTTGGAAAGTGCTTTCCTGATACACGAATCAAGATTTTATTTAAGTGATCAGTATCACAAACCCAGGTTTCTAACACTTTTTGTGTGGATACTGCAACAGATACCTCTTATTTTCTATCCTTGTGCCTTTAGTCAAGAGTGCCTCTGGAGTCTAAATGAAAACTTTATGAGGCACGGGATGTAATTGGGATTGGCTAAAAACAATTAGAATGAACAGATGGCATGTGGGTTTGGTTAAAAACAATTCTTAAGAGCACGTTACAATTTTTTTATAGATCCCAATAGCAGAATGTAAATGAAAATTTTATGAGGCACTGGATGTAATTTGATTATTCTTTGTGCATCATGTATGTGCTGAAATTCTTGGTGTCTCCTTTTGTTTTCAGTTTTTGTTTACAGGACCTTCCCAACTTCTTTGTTTGATCTTGTTGCATGGCATATGTAGCTATGACCCTGACTTATGTATACCCAAATTTATGCAATCTACTGGATTTATTTCAGAAAACAGTAAGAGGAAGACTGTAAAGAGGAGTATTGTGGTGGAACATGATAGTGATGTCTTGAAAACTGCATTCGCTTTACAGTGAATGTATTTGTTATTTCTGTTCCTAAATCTCTCTTCACTTTTAATTGGTATAGGCAGACATTTTTTTGCGAGGATATGCTGGTTGGAACTCCAGGCATGCAGTAGAAGTTCTGGATCAAGTTTTTCCAAAGGTAATTTCTTTGGTGTAGTTGCCGACTTAAAAACCAAATTCATATACTTTCCCACCTTTTATTTGGATATATAAAAGTGCTTCTTAATGACACTAACATATATATGATTATCCTCTCTTAGTTCTTATGTTTTTATTAGTTAAGCAGAAGACACAGTATTCTGGCTAATTTGTTTTTCTCTTCGCACTTCTTGGTTCTTAGGACGAACCAGTACAACCATCTCTAGTGATTGTTTATTTTGGAGGTAACGATTCAGTCTCTCCTCATCCACGTGGCCTAAGTAGTCATGTACCTCTTTCTGAGTATGTTGAGAACATGAGGAAGATAGCTATCCATTTGAAGGTAAATTTTAGCATAACATTTTATTTGATTAATACATTAATGGCAAGTGCACCGGACCGGACATGGTCAAGTAATAAAGTGTGAGTAGAGAGTATCATTCCCAGGAGGAAGGTAGACTTGATCAATCGACAATCATATCAATTAAGGTCTGGTACAGAAATCTAAACTTAAAATTAAACAAACAAGAATATAAGCTCAAAGCTGATTCATTTAATAAGTATTATTAGGGTTCTTATCTTACCTAAACAGATATAACTATTGGCTTCAATCAAACAATATATCATTCATGTGTTGATAGAATTCCCTAATATACAGTTACCAAATTGATTAGAACTGCCTATACTTCATAAAATTTGAATCACCTTCAATCAATGGAACACATTATGATCAATAAAAAGTTTACTCATGAAAATCAAATATCCAAAGTTTTATTGATGAGAAACCTTACCATGAGGTTTGGTTACAACATCTAACAAAAGAAAACGGCTAGGTCATAATGTTAAACAAATAAAAGAAAATGATGAAAAAATCACCATAGATGAATGGAAAGAAGAAACAAAGAACTGAAAACATTTTCTATCATGCTTTTTACGATTGGATCTCCCTCTTCTTGACTCCTTCTTCCATGTTGTTAGGTTTTTATCTCCAAGGGGAAAACAAATAAATTTATCCTAACCTAATAAAGCATGAAAAGAAAGGAACTCTTGTGAAACTTCCGTGTAAAAAGAAAAAGTAAGACACATAATATGGTGAATGATTTTCTAGATAACTTTAGGTTAGGGTTGAGGTCTATTTATCACTGAAGCATACTTGGGAAACAATATATGAAGATGTTTTAATGGGAATGAAAGACGTTAAGATAAAGTTGGTCAATCAAAATCTTCTTTAAATTCAGGTTTTCATGCTGGTAGATCATGTTCCACAATTTGCAAAATATATTCTTTGTCCATGGTCGAATCGGATAAGCTTATGATTTGTAGTACTATCTTTTAAATGTTTAGTGTTGCAACAATTACCTTAGACATTCAGAGTGTGATGCATGCCTAAGATACGGAGACAAATCTGAAAATATAATTTGCAAAGCAACTGCAAAACTAGTGATATTGTACATAAAATAAATAGTAAAATCTGTTTCTGAAAAGGATTTCTAGATATACGATTATCACGCTCTTCCTTCACCTGTTTTCTGTTAAAAAGAAAAAAAAAACAGTACATTGGTAATGTATATATTGCATTCGCTTTTTGCTGGTACCCACTGTCTTAAGAGGAGTACCAGAAGTTATTACTATTGCATAGAGGATATTTAATTAGATGAATATGGATAAATGAAAAAAGCTTGCAAATTAACCTAACTTACACATAAATTTGACCTAACATTGGCATGTAGCATTGTACTGTTGTCCATTATTTAGTCAGGATATACATATACATTTTTACATTAAATGACACTAGATGGTCTTACATGTTTATAATGAACCCTTGTGGTATTAATGCATGGCACATGTTATATGTCCTTAAAGTAATTAATGTGTTCTAATACAATGATCCACATGTTGTTACCAGAGCCTTTCAGAGAAGACGCGCATAATATTTCTTACTACTCCGCCCGTGAATGAGGCTCAAATGCTAGAAATTTTGGGGTGATTATTGATGAGTTCAATTTGTTTTTGCATTTTTTTTCTAATTGTCAAATAATTGTTTTTTTTATGAAACCAGTGTTGAGGATCGAACAAATGAACGGTGTCAAAAATATGCAGATGCTTGTGTAAGAATGTGCCAAGAGATGGGGATTAAGGCTATTAATCTGTGTGCCGCATTTAAGCAACAACATGACTGGTCAACAAGCTGCTTTACGTGAGTATGCATACACGCACACACTTATATTGATGTTCCTAGCTTCTAATTCTTTTCCCATCCATTGATCTTTGTTTAGGCCAAGTTAGTACTAGTTGCCTTAACGAGGAGTTTTTAATTACGATCAGTAGTGGAAGTTGGAAGTGTTCGATAACACAAATATCTTGAAAAATCTTACTTAAATTAATATTCTGAATCGTTACAAACAAACTATGAAGACATACAATGAAAGGTGATAGTAAAACGACCACGTTTTAAGATGTGCCACGATAGGGTTGGGTTGAAAGACCTTTTCAGGGAAGCAAGACGAGAGGCAACAGGATAAGTCTTGTAAATTACAATCTCACCCTATACATGGTGTACTTGTCATGCTCTCAATCTTTGTTTTTATCCTGCGTCACACTACTGCTTCCTTTTGTTTGATTTTTAATGGATGTGACAGAGATGGGATACATTTATCAGCTGTTGGAAGCAAGATAATGGCAAAAGAGATACTCAAAGTGATCAAGGAAGCTCATGACTGGAAGCCAAGTTTGCATTGGGAGTCTTTGCCCACAGAGTTTGCATAACATTCAATTCAAGGTACATCATTATTAAATAGGTTCAATCAGCAACTCAAACAGGTAACTTGCTTGTATGTTGCTGTTGGCTTATGCTTTCTGTTATATCTGCTTCATCTGGATGCATGTATAAGATTTTTTTAGTTTATAACATTGTTTTCTTCAACATATTTATATTTAAACAATCTATCATGCAAGACAACTTGTCTATTGAATTCAAGTTCAACATTCTGAAGTGAAGTTCAGAAGGTCATACGCCTTTTTGATAGAATCTTACGGAAGGATCACCGCCAAGGGGGAGAGGAAACCCCCCATACGGGGCGATCAAGGTGGCATATGTATACATGTATTCTGCACCACCAAACTCGTATTAACGATCAAGTCAATCTCATTTACACCAAAATGTTTGATGACACTAGAATCACCAACAACTTTGCATTACCTTCAACACAATAGAAAGACGATAAAATGTTCACCTTCCCTATATATTACATCAAATTAGATATTACATGATTACACCGTGTACATATTAAAACAGCAAAATTACATACACATGTTGTTAACAAAATGCAGCAAACCCGATTCGGAACTTGTACCCCTGTCCCGACCATCTCTCGATTCTGGTCTGCTACTTCTCGAGTATATATTTGACAAAGATTATATGTGGTATTCATTTGTATAGAGAAGCAATTGCAATTGAAATAAATCATCATTTGAACTGAAAATTTTCTCAACCAATACATCTACTCCACTCTGTCCATGCTTTTCTGATCATTAATGCTTTAAGACGACAGCTGAAACCTCCCGCTCGGTCTTTTTCTTCTCCATCCCTAGTTTAACAAAATGAAAATATAATGATCTACTTGTCTTTTTCAAAAAAATTACCAGTTGGAATGTCTAAAACAATACCCTATTGGCTCTTAAAATTTGCAACATTTACTTCATGTATAATAAGTGTTGCAACTCTTGTGGAGGGAGAGTGACATAGTGAGCAAGAGAAAACTTACAAAGGCGGTATAATACACGAAGGTTAAGCCTGCTAGAGCGATGAATGCAATCTGAAATACATTATACCTGTTCATGATACGATCATAAATGAGCACAGGTCTATACCCAAAAGAAAAACTCAATGGTGATAGCGGAAACTGAAAGAGAAGAAATAACTGTGACTAACTTGTATAGATATTTGATTCCACGAAGAGATTCCAATGTGTGACCAAATATTTCTTGGGCAGCTGTAGCTTGAGCATAGTATGCAAATGCTGTGGAACAGAACTGAATCACACTGAAAACACCAAACAGAAAACAGATGATGCCGAAAATTCTTTTACTGAATCGATCATGAAAATGGAACTGCATGGTGTCCCCCAGAAGGTCACATTTAACTTCGGATTATTGTGTGTATATCGATTACTGCATTTAGCTGTATAACTACTGAAATAAAAACACTATGGGGATAGAAACTAAAATGTTCAAGTTCAACTGAAATTGATGAAAAGCATAAAAGATACGATCAAGTAGAGAAGTTACGAGGCAAATGAATTTTCCATTATTGCCAACGAAATGGTTAATTTACTAATGATCTATATAGCATGAGATTGGCCCACCTGATGGAGGAAAGAAGAATGAGTCCCACGTTGAAAAGAAAAGAGTTCATGAGAGTAGCTCCCCACCTGTCAATTGGTTTCACAATTAGCAACCATTAAAAAATCATTCACGGTCTTTGGGAAATTGGTATTGTTTCGTTTGGTTTAGAAATTCATTCGTGGAGAAAGAAAGATGTTACAAGTGCCCTAAAAAAGGTAATTACTTCATTGGATGGATAGTGATAAACACTAGTCTCAGGCCAAGCATCATTTCCCCAGCAATCACCGCAAGCAGAAGGTAGAAGCAGAAGAATGCAAATGCTGCAGTTCCAAGCAGACCTGAAGTGGCATATGGCCATTAAGATATGTCCATGCATTTAAAATAGAAGAGCATAAAGGGACTCCGAGATTACCCCAAGCATCGTCCAACTTGATGAAAACCTCATTTAGGAAGGGCGAAAGAGGCGGATCAATCAACAAGTATATCACAATGTGTACAACCCAGGCAATTGAAACAATCAACCTAACAGCAACAATACATCAGAACAAATTTTGATTACTTAGACTGCTAGTAATTGTAAATTACCAAAGCAATCTTGAGATGATGTGTGAGAACATCAAATGATTCAGAAAGAATAAAATCTAGATTTGGCGTGACGAAAATGAGGTAAAACACAATGGTATTGGAATTTAGGAGTTCATTGACTGCATAAATGGGAAGACACGATCAGAAACGCACCAATTTAGATTGGATTCCATTTTTCACCCTTGGACTTGCTAGTGTGGAAGAAAGGGTGGTGCCCGATTGGTTTGAGCTTGGGCTCCAAAGGTCAAAAATGCCTGGAGATCACAGGTTCAAATCCAAGGAGGAATAAAAATCCCCTTGCGGCCATGGAGGTTCAAATGAGGTGACTCCGGACTACCCGCAAAGCGGGTGGTTGGAATTAGTCGGTTCGCAAAGCGGGTTGGATATCCAGGTTAAATCAAAGAAAAGGAAAAAAACACATCTTGTTGTGCATCTATTAGAATGGGTATACAAAAAAATCCGACACTTTTTAAAGAAAGTGGAAACCTAAAATTTGAACACCCCAACATGAAAGCAACCAAATGAAGAAGGGGAATAACAATTATTGGCCATACAGTTTATACACACATAATAACACATGGGTAATAACAAACTGAGAGTTTATTTAAATGAGAACATTAAATTACGGTTTAAGCCTAAAATATTAAGAAGACACAACTGGAAAAGAAGTGATGGACATACACTTCCACTTTGTGGTGAAACTAATAAACTATACACGATTAATATGTATTTAAGAGTAGGCCAAAAATCACTAGCATATTAAACAACATATAAAACACTATACAGGAAGCTCAAATTTCAGAAATTAAGAAACCCCATACTAGTCATCAATCTGAAAAAAACTAGTCCATTAAACCACACAATCAGAATGTAGTTCTACTTTTTGAAAGAGAATGAGAACTTATAATTCTTTTTTTTTTTTAAGTTTATAAAACTTATATACGGCAAATTAAACTCACGCACACTTCTGCCTTCGGCAAGAGTTGAATCCTTGACCTCTAAACAGGTTGGGTTACAAGGTACCGCTAGGCCAAAGGCCCTTTGCCTTTGGTAAGAGAACCACATGTGAGGGTAACTATGATGGAACTATAACAAAATCCAAACAAATAACAAAAAAAATATGTATAATGCTTAGAACTTTACCAGGTCTTTTTCAATCATTTTTACTAGATACTCAATGGCATTACTAATCAATTAATCATAAATTACTTCAGATTTATTTAAAGAGCATAACAGGAAACCTAGATTTTTCCAAAACACGGCCAGAATACCAGATGGATAGTATTAGGAGAACTTACCCAAAGACTCCAAGTACAAGCTTTGCCAAATAGCCTAGGATTGTCATCGCCCAGGTAGTCTCTGCCTGAATAAATTAGGCTTGAATTAGTATGCGACTAGAAAAAATATCTATCTGTAATTCAAAAGGCAAGTACATCTTTTTTTAAAGGAAAAGAAAAGAACTTCTTAATTATCACCTTTTCACCTTGAGGATACATCTCTTCTAAAGCCTTCACATCATCCTCCAGAAGAAGCAACTCCTGAAGGATAGAGATTAGTCAGCTTGGTGAAAACAACCAAAGAACATAAACATATAGAGAATGTTAAGAAGGTCTCAATTGAGCTTCTCATCATTTACATCAAAGACAATAATCCAGGACCTTCCGAGGTCAAATAATACACAAACACTTATAAGTATCTTACAGCTATGCTCGCCCTCATAAGAAGTACAAAAAGAAATGATGTAAAACAAACAACAAATAATATACATGGTACTCCTCTCATCCCTATTAAAACAACCACAATGGAACTGGCAACCAAAACTTAAGATTTTTTTTCCTTCTTGGTCCATATCCTTCTCTTTTCATTATACTCCCCCTTGTTTCCAATTTCATTAGATAAGATGTAGTTAATCATTGCTTCTTTATTTTGTTTGGTCGAACAAAAATAACTCCAAGATGAATTTGCACACATACATATGCTTATGCACACATACACATATATGATATCCTTGTATGGAAGCACACACACACCAGAGTTCATGTAGAAGACACTGAACATACCTATAGTGTGTGTGTGTGCATGCTTGCAAATTTCCACTTCCGCAAGCATCATCACGTAACATATACAGGTAGAATTGGAAAATAGCCCCAACAATTTTATGAAAGGGCAAGATTGGGTTCATTCCAGTATGGTGATACGGGGAGCATTATTGGCATATAATAATTTAGGACTTCAATGATCATGTGCATGGCAAACATACCAAAACCATAAAGTTCATAATACCATCATTATCACTCCTATATATCTTCTGTTGCCTTTCATACCCATCTATGCTAGACCCAAACCTTCAACCTGGGCAGCATGAGAAGGCAAAATTCGCAGATTGACATTAGGCCGCAGTGACTCGTGTTATATATACCAATGAACCTTGATTCCTTAGTAGACAGAACTTCAAAAGAATGTAGACAAACACCCGCCAGCTAACCTCAAATCCTTATTCAACAAAACTTCTAAACAATGTAATGTAGACATACTTTTTCTACTGCCTTCATGTTTTTTCGCCACTTTCTTCCCTTTGAACCACTTTTTTGTTCCTGGTGAAGTGCATCCGCTGCCTTCTTCAATTCTCTTGCTTTTTTACCAAGTTCTGTTGCTTCCTAGACAATAAACCAACAAAACAAGAACTAATTGCAACTGAAATAATACAAGAGAATGTGATATAAATCAGTAAGCAGGAACTACCTTGATATACTGTGATCTAGTGATAACCGCCCTTGGTCGCCTGATGAATGAAAATATAAGTCCCAGAGGGAGGCAAGCTATGCCAACCCCGCCAAATATCTAAATATGAGACACAAGATTAGGATTTGCATTAATTTTTCATTCTTTTACATCTATTAGAAGAATGACACCAACTAATATAGAGAGATGGCTTTTTAGAATCTGCATTTAGTCCTATCTAGCAATAATCTGCGCCTTTTAGGATGGGCACTATTTTCAGATGGCTATATGCAACTTTACATCTATTAAGAAGTAGTATCAATACTTATTATATATTTTAAGTACACCCAGAGAAGAACATACAGAGAAAAGCACAGATCCTGCAATTGTAGCAAGAGCAACAACATATTCTGGAAAGGTTGAGCGCATAGTCCATGTTGTCTCTGATGAAGGATTGGCAATATATGCAGAACACTGTGATATTGATTGAAAGGCATAACATTAAATGTGAATGGTAATGCTAAGAAACTCCGAGCAGACAAAACATAAATTGGCAATTACCTGGCGTGCACCACTCCCAATACACTGTTCACTGCTTGAGAAACCAAAGTTATTTGGGAAAGCAGTGGTTGAAGAAGAGAGGTGCCTAACAGTGAAATCAACCTTTCCAACAAGACCTAGTACATGTGATGGTAGAACTCAGCAACAAAACAACCAAGAGTAGTAAAAACATTGGAGTAGCAATCTTAATTCACTGTGATTTATATGGGCAGTATCACCCATCTATTACAGCAAGTGTAATACAATAACAATGTGGACAAGAAACTTAATTCTAGCCTATAAGGTACCCTTTAGGGAGTTTACAAGCTACAGAATAGGTTCTAACTCTTAGAAAGTACCACCATCAAAGATCGATGTATACAACCAAGATATATGACATCCCAGACCACACTGAAGACATTTGACATCAGAAATTACTGCATTGAACCAAACAAAAAGATAAAATACGATGCAAATATATGGGAAATATAAGTTTTCACCATGACCAAAAAACAAAACCTACAACATCAATGGCAAGATATAATCAACAACTATGCTAAAAAATTCTGTAACTGTTCCTTTCCTATATATACTACTGTGTGTTCGTATACAAGGAAACAACCTATTCTCTATATTTCTGTTTGATATGCAGTAACATTTGTAGAATGATTATCTAGAAATGCATTGTGTTGTCTTAACCGACTTGACAATACACTCTAGCAGTAATGAACTTTTTACACTTGTAACTAGAGATAGGAATGAGGCAGGAGACCATTCCCTATAACCAGCCCATATCCTCGTATGTCAAACCCAATTAAATCATCAGACATCCACCCAACCTGAACCCTACCAGTTTTCCTTGATGAATTTTAGCATATGTTTAAAACTATAAAATACCAATTAATTAATTAATTAAATTATGAAGTATAAACATTGTGGTAGACTAACCGAACACAAAATAAAAATATAACCAAAACCAAAATAAATGCACGGTTGGGAATCAATGTTAGGCACATTGATGTAAATTGACAAACTATAATGTATTACCATCTCACCAAAACCTTCCTTTGAGGTCAAATACAAAAAGGGGCTTGTCATGCACCATCATAACTGAACTGACACAAATCCCAATTTGTCAGGAAGGGGTACCATGTAGACTCTTATTTGCAGTAGCAAGCAGTTAAATTTGGAGTTGCAATAAGGAAAAAGAAAAGAAGTTATGGCATTGACAAACGAATATCACAAGCCAAATTCAAGAGCCGCTATGTTTTCTGTTCCATATATATTATAGTTAAAAGCGATTAAAAAGCGATCTATCTAACTAATTATATCACAATAATTCAGATTTAGAAGACACATCACATATATTTACCATTAAAAGTTACATCCTAGCAATGTTAGAAGATGATATGAAATATCCTAGCCATGGTATGTAATCCTAGCGGGCAGTATGGTGGGTGGAAACCCTAGTTCAGAGTAGAAGTAGACAATATTAAACTATAAGTATCATTTAGACTCCTTCCAAACATCATGTTCATTGTTTTCTTTATCTTGTCCACCTACTGTGATGAGAATGGCAAGGTCTTGAACAAATAACAATCAAGCGATCAAATATGGGATCCATATTAAACCTTAGAAACAACTCAACCGTTTAGTAGCAACACTAGGGAACAGAGGTTTCACTTTCAAGTGACTAGGTCAGTAGAATATTTACTATTTAGTAGTATAGTGACGGTTCCATTTTAGTGTTTTAATGGTGGTAGTTTAGCAAGGTTACATTTGTCTAGGTTTCTCAAATGTAGTCCACATCTTAATAAAGAGTGATTATGATTGTTTTTATGTAGTCTTAGCTCTCAAAGCTGATCCCTTGCAAGAATAGGCATCATTCTTCTTATCTTTCACCACTTTTAATGCTTCAAACCCATTTCATTTCCAAACAATTGCATTTTGTCAAAGATGTTTAGAAACATACAACATCCATTCCAGAATGGCAAATGGAAGTACGTGTAAGATTTCCCATCTAGTCACACAATGATAAAATCAAAATCAAGATAATGAATAGATCATGTCAAAACCCATTCCGAAGTTAGTTGAGGACGTGGTCCAAACCTTATTGTAGTCTCTAGTTAAGTCAGTGATAAACTACTGCACTGAAATGCAAGGCAATCTCACAAACTGATATTTGCTTGTACATTTGAGCTGTTCGCATGGTTCCATAATATTTTCAACTTCACTAAGTAGGGGCCTCATAGGAAGTCCTTGTGGGTTACAAATAAAACAAATTTGAATCAACCAACATAGTTCTGCTTAAATTATCATATTTAGAGTATACTAGGTACACTTCACCCAACTAAAAGTGTCAACGCACTCCACTTCATGGCCTTATCACATGCCACAGATGAATATAAAGAATCAATACTAGTTTATCCTAACATTCTTTTTAAGAATAGTAGCTCGCCGGTAAGCTTTAGTGACCAACTTCCTAACTGATTTGGTTTTCTCTCCCCTTCAGGTACCACCTTGTTTAATGAGCTCTACAGCTTGGTTTATTATAGCAGCTGCTTTGGCTTTCTAATAAGTTGATCAACTTTTTAATAGGATAATCTTTTTCCCATATTTGAAGAATTATCTTTTTTCCATCAGCCGACCATTGTGGCCAATAGCTAATACTGCCATTGGTTAATTAGGTATTTCTATTACACATCCAAGCTTTTTAGGCATCGTTACAGGTTCACACAAGCATATCATGATTTCCATTGCCATTTAGCCACATATAGATTTTAATCCTGGTTGCAGCTAAAGACAATTGGAACTGACATTTTATGCAGGAGGGAGAGAGGGATTAAAAAATGAGGGAGTACTAACCATATAGAATACCCAGCAGTAAACCACAGATAATAGCTGTAGCGATCACCCACATCAATGAACTTTTCAATCTCTTCCCAACAGATCTACATACACAAATTGGTTAGCACATAGACATACACAATATCATTAGCATGTCTACATGCACATTGAGCATTTTAATATACTCCCTCCACTCCGAATAGGAGATGCATTTTGAATTTTGTGGTCAAAACTAATATTTCTGAAATTAAAAATCAGTGTAAGTTTTTCATCAGCTAGCTTCAACCTTTTTTCTAAAAGGCAGTATTCTTGTAAGGTTCAACATTGCTGACGAATTCCTTAGAATTTGAAATTAAATATTAGTCGATTTGAACTCAAGATTTAAACCTTGCCTCGTTTCAGACATCTATATTCAAGCTCATAGATATAATCGTTGGTTTCAGAAAGAAAACATACAATTTTGACGGTGAACTCAAAGCCTAGTGTTCAAATCAGAATTGCTGCGAGCTATGTTATAAATTTAACACCTTCAAATTTTATCTTCCTATTTGTAACTTTGCTCACAAACTTTAACGTAGTGATTGAATTTCTTATTAAAAGTTTTAGCACTCATCAATGTACATTTTGGCTTCTGATGTACAACAAAAACTTTCGAAATCTAAAACCATACTCCGTCATAAACTTCGAGAAGTGTACCATCTTCAGTATTCTTTCGAAAGTAGTAAACAAAATCATCAATTTCATGGTTAGTATTACCACGTAATGACTTACTTGTCTTGGTCACCTTCGTAGTAGAACATTGCGAATGGAATAACGAAAAAAACGAGGATGGCATCGACAATGTAAATAGCCAACCACAGATCTTTCATCGGCAATGTAAGATTACAAGCCCCGTTATATATAGCATGCCGGCAAGCCTGACGGTTGGCAACATCGGCGGGAAGCATGAGGATGGAGATAGCAGCGACGGAGAGACCGAAAACGACAACGAATTTGGGAAAATACGCCTGGTTTTTGTCATCGGGATGTTGGTAATTCACAAGGAGGTATACATTGATAAGAAACACTAATACACAGACAACGATCGCCACAATCACAAGAGCAAGATTGAAATCACCCATCTTTTCCTTCGATTTGGATCCAAATCATGAACTGATTGGAATTTCTAGGGTTTCGCTGTGTGTGGGTTTTTGAAGCTTCAAACGAGGTGCCCTCTTTTCGTATATGTATGTCCCTTTCCCTTTTCTTCGGCCTGGTGCACAGGTGGCAGTTGTTGGATTTACAATTTTGTCCTTGACAGACCTCCTATTTTAAGGTTTCAGTGGGGACACGGTGGTGAATTCAGTTGTGTTGGAGCATTCAGAACAGTTCAAAAATGTTACATAAAAGACCCTAAGGTTTCAACAAACTTGCAAAAAAGTATAATAGAAGTTCACTAGAGATTTATTGTTAGTGGTCATGGTTTGTTTATAACTTATAATCTAAAGGATCATCTATTAAAGGCTTACCGGATAATTTAAGATGTTTATTAGAAATTTATTTTGATGGTCAAAAATGTTACAGGATAAATTTAAGGGGTCGTTTACCAAATGCTTATTTGGGTAAGTGAACACTAAGTCACATTACCTTATCGGATTAATATGGTAAGGACCAAGAACATTCCCGGTAAGAGCGAGATAATGACCAAAAGTCTGACCCGGTAAGTAAGGGTGACGATTCTTACCACGGTAAGCGCTTACCGGGTAAATGGTTGCATACGGTACTGTTTTGATGGACTAAAATCTTACCTGATAAGTAAATGATAATGTTAAATTTTACCGTTAAACGCTTACCAGGTAAGTACGGATGATGTTCCTTGCAAATAAACGCTTACCCAATAAGTGTTTGATAAAGGACTTGTAAAAATATTTAATTTAAGGTCATGTATGAGTATTGTAATGCATCACCAACCAAGATGTGTGAATCAGTTAAGGGTAGATTATAGTAAAATAGAAATTTTATTTAATTTTGGAGTGAATTGTGGATTCCATTTTGTATTTTGATTTTTTTTTACTAAGGTCTCTGTTTATTGTGAATTTGGTTCTTATGGTATTCCATTTGTCTTGGTCTTTTTCTGACTAAAGTCTCCGTTAACTCCGTTAAATGAAGGACCATTTTAGACTTTTTGACTATTTTTTGTCTTTTTTCCTATAAAAAGTAATAACAATAGTTTTATACACACGAATATCTATACTATAGCATTTGACAAAAACTCTTAAAAACCATTTTTATGAATGAAATACTGTAGATTGATGCATATTACTTACAATTTCAAGATTACAAGTAAATTATGCATAAGTACAACTTATTAAAGCTCCATGTTTGAATTTGTGTAACTAACTATGGATAAACATAATCAAGTAAAAGATAGACATCTCATTTTAAAATATAAAAAATCTAAAATATAATTAGGATAATTATCGAGTTCTAACAAAATAATTAACTATTATCTTTATAAGAAAATTATATTACTAAACCAAATATAAATTACTTTGTTATTGAACCTAAATTAAATTATAATAAAAAATTGAATTAAAAAATTACACAAAAAATGAGGAATTTTAAATAGTTAATCTGATACTAGTATCGATATAATTTTGTCAAATTTTTATGATATATTCAAATTTATATTTTATTCAAAAATGAAAACATCATCGTTTTTTCAAAATCACATAAGATCATTTATCACATCGATTGAGATAAAAAATAAAATGAAATATTAAAATCAAGATGTATCTCGCTGCATTGTACGAATACCCTTCTAATATACATATATATAGGTTGTTCTTCTTTTAAAAACTCATTAATTTATGAGATTAGTGAGATCCAATTTAAATCATAAAAAATTATTTGAAAAAATAAATCTAATATAAATTAAAAACATCTCTCCTCTCTCCATAGTTTTATTCTAACCCCCACTCCCTCCTATAACTTTTCTTGTATATTTGTATATCTCCTCCTACAAAAAAAACCTAAATTCCAAAAAAAAAAAATCAATTTTAACCTTTTAATATTTTAAGTTTTAACTCTTTAACTTTTTAAATATTTTTCTATTACATCTTTTATGTTTTTAATCTTTAATTTGTATTGTAATTATATAAATAAATTAATTTTATATTATTATTAACTAATAGAATATTAAGAATACATATTTCAAATATAAATTAAATTTTATTAATTAATAAAATATTACGACATATTTTTTGGTTATCTATTTGTATACAAATGTATTACGATAAATTACAATATATTAAAAACTTTGATTTTTCATGTTAAATTAGCATATTCATGAGTAAGAGTACGCTCTATATATTCTTCATAAGAGTACGCTCTATTTTTTGGTACTACACAAATCCATGTACTTGCATCTTGAAGACAATAACGTGTCCAATGGTGCGTAAGTTTGGGCATTGTATATTATCCATTTAATACCACTTTTATGTAATGGTTACCATCAACATGTACTATTGCAATTGTCACGTGTTGAGATGACGACGGAGGTTGTGTCCTAAACGGTAAGTATATCACATTGTCTGTCATATTGAGAACATGCAATATGCATTGAACCTTGAAGCCGTTAGAATGCTAATTTCAGGCATAGCAATCCAATACGTAGTTGGTGCGAAGATGCCCTTTTGGAAAAACTTCAACGCTTCATGAATGCGTAAGCACTCATTACCAATCATATAAGAGTAATATTGTCCATACTCAGTTAGTTCAATCATTAACTCTTTGCGGATATTGTCCCATTCGTCTTCATGACCATCCAAACAAGTAGATATTGCTCAGAATCCACAATTTCCATCACCAATACATCTTGTATTTGTGTGATGTATGGATGAAATAAACTCAGGATTTGATCAAGATACAGATGTCGGGTGGTGGGTCGTCGTTGGAGGTAGGAACTCTGTCTCGCTGATTCTTGATGCCCCAAATCTTCAGAGTTAATAATTGTTGGCACATTAAAACAACTATGTCTACGATCTTCAATAATTCTTTTGTTCAAAGCTTGATTCTTTATAGATGGACGACCATGAGTGGTTCTATGAATCGATGGTTCATCAAACGGTTTTGATGGCATTACTATATCCTTCAACTTTCTGAGTAATTTTTTACGATCATGATATGACTGCTTGTTGAAATTTTTTGTGAACATTTGAACTTCATCATCACATCCAATATCATCATCTTGTGTGGACACACAGGGTGAAAATTCAAGTTTTTTTTTCCAAAATATATCTATTGCATCAAGTGGAATGGGTATGCCTTGACATGTATACAGTGCTTGTTCATGAGCACATGGCAACCCATGACTTCTACGCAATTTACAACCACAACTTTCGGAAAATACGCTAATTTGGAAAGCCCGTTTATTTTTAGTGGAAAATCATATCAAGTGCATGAAATGAAACAAATCCCCACAAATTTTGAAAGTGTGGGTTTCCAAATTGATGTTTCCTAATAGTTCTACATTGTTCAAAACTTGCTTTAATCGATGTGTCTTGTGACTAGATTACTTGACGGATATGAAATAGAATTTTTTGTAAGTCTGCTTAGGAAGTCTCAAAAAATAATTTTAATTTAGAATGTTGGTTTTCAACTTTGTTTGTTGTGTGATTTCCAAAGTTTAAAGTATGATCAACCCAAGCAGATACAAACATTTTCTTATATGGTGTCAACCATACATTGTCTAGGTAATTCATAACACCTGAAAAAATACAACAAACATATGTCAATACCTTTAGTGACAATGGTTAAACTATCTTATATTAAGAATATCTGGATAAGCGAACAAATTTTCTTGAAGTTATTCCAAGTTGTACATGTACCATTCCTGATTTTGAGATTCAAGTAATTGCAAAAATAATTGACAAAAAGAATTCCACGAGTGAGACTCGTGAATTGATGGTCTATAATGTTTCAAAAGAAAACATGGCCCCCCAGACTCTTGAAGTTATTCCGCGTTTGTATTTAGCCCCCCTAAAAGCACTTCCTATGTAAGTCATCATCTTCTAGAACCAACAAAATTAATGTTCCCCCAAGTAGCAATATTAACTTTTTCTGTGTGTGTTGATATTCTCTGGCTTTCTTTGATCTTGTTGCAATGGGTTTTTCTTGTTTTTGTGTATGTGCTATTTGTGCTTCTCTTCATGATTTTGTTATAGCTTGATTTGATCCCTTTTGGTAATGTGTTCTTGGGTGGTGTACTAATTTCTTAAATTAACATTAACCTTTGGATGCTAAATATCTATTTGCAGAGTTTGAAATAACTATATATTCCTATACATTTGAATACATATTCTTTCTTTAATTGTCGATTCTTCTAGAACCATGGAATTATAGGGCTTTAAGCTTGGTTGTGACAGTGAATGTTTTGCAAGTTTGGACCGTTGCAGGACTTAATGAAGTTGCAAGAGTCGGACTTTAATTTTGGCAGGTTTTTCATCTCAATGTTGCAAGTCTTATATGGTTTTCCTAAAGGTCTACTCGAGGAATGGGGTTGGTTTCTTTAGGTCATTGAACATTTTTTAGTTCTAAGGTGTGGTTTCTTTTAAACTGATTGTTTATCTTCACTGAGAAAATATTGGTTTTCGGGATCTTTTGTGCCTTCACATGGAATGAGTTGCTTGTTTTTGGATCATAAGCAAAAGTGACCCTTTTTTCAATGGCCTCATTGTGGATAATGTATGGCTCAAATCTTTTAATCTCGGCTGACTTTACCATCCTCCTACCTTAGCACCTAGCAGCAACCTTCCACAAACATTGTGATTATGTCGCTTAAATTTAAGGAAAAAAAAGGTTTAATAATTCAAAGAATATGGAGAGCGAGTTCTTATAAACTTACTACTCCTATTTGTGATCCAAAAGAAAGAATGGGTCACAATACTATCCCACAACACTACTTTATTAGGCTTAGGAAGCCTAAAACGAGTCCCATTCCAAAAAGGACCAAATAACGTATGAAGCTGTTAGAACTACCGCCTCTAAACAAGTCGACTTCATATTCTTCAACCGCAAAGATAATAACCACCCAGTCCAATCTAAATTGGAATTAAGCTTTAGAACATCTAAACCCCATCGTTAACCAATTTGCTTCCAAATATCCTAGGCCATTTGATAAAAAAAGAACAAATGACTCACCGATGCAATCTC